CTCGTCACCTGTCGCTTGTGACGGAGGATAGCTGTTGCGGATCTGCTGTGCGCAACGCCGTACTTGGGGGATGTGGAAGGGTTACACCCTAACAGCGGGGTTTTTTTTTATTATTTGGTTAATGCACACTTGTCCAGTTTCAGCATTTCAGAGACAGGAAAAATCCTTCGCTGGCCCAGGCGGCGCGCATCAGCGCGCTGCTGTGCTCTGGGGCTGTGGCTACACTCGGTCACGGGATAAATACTATAACCATTAGTTGCTACTACATCTTCTGTGACTGCAGATAGATGGAGGCAGGGTGGGCAACCCTCTCTGCTTCTCTCTAACCATATGCCCAGAGGAGCCTTCCTTTACTGTCTTTGGAGCTGTGTTCTGTTTCCAGAATTTCTTCAAAATTTGCACATGAACACTGCTATTTTGTGATGCGTTTGTAGTATTTTACTGCTTAAGGCATTGCAGCTAGTAACTTCTTCAGGGCAGGCACCGTATATACCCCTTGCACATCTACCATAGCTGGCACATCAAGGACCAGGTATGAAAATGAATTGTGAAGGCTCACAGCCTCTAGCTGAGAAAGGACATCAGCTGCCTACTAGACAGTACACACCTGAGGATACCTGCAGTTACAGAGATGTAGTGAAAAGGTTGTTGCTTTGTTCTCCATAATGTTTCTTTGAAACATTTTCCTGCGGAGTTTCTCAAGCCCAAATCCAGTCTCATTATTAAATAATCATCAGCATTTTACTCTCCGTTCTTGGCCGCCCAAGCTCCAGCTACTGTCAGCAAACATCAAGATCAGAGGAGGCCAGAGAAGAGCATTCAGGGATCAAATAGTCAAGAATATTAAAGATAAATCCATGTTGATTATAAATGCCTGTTCGAACAGCTCATTTAGGATCTGAATGCAAAGATGTTTTGTTCTATGAGCAGCTATCAGCACCACCCCACTGCTAGGAAAATGCGATCGCTATAAAATATCTGTCAGTTTTCAGATTTTATTTGCTATGGAGTTTGTCACAATTACTATAAAACCCAAGCCCTGGATCAGCATGTGTTATGAGAAAGAGACTTATTGCTACATCAGCCATGCTCAGCCCTCGGACCAAAATGTTATTTGGATCAGAATTCTGACTTACCTTTTGTATAGAAAATTTTGCTTTAGGAGTTCCCACTGAGATCAGTGAAGTCATTACAGGTATAAAAGAGCATTCAAAATCAGTAAAAGTGCTAGGAACTAGATCTTATGGGGCACATGTGAAAGCCCATAGAAATTAGTAAGAGGCATGATGTGAACATTAAAGTCTGCCATGGGCCCTGCAGTTATAGGAACTGATCGACAGTGATACCACTCTTCAGTGTTAAGCAACATTCTGTAGGTATCTATGTACGTAGAAATGGGAGGAAACTTTTTCTTTTTTTTTACATAAAAATAGTCCAGCCGAAACCAGGACAATTGACAGTATACAGATGTATTTGTACTAAGGTTTAACAAACTGAATTTCACTTTCAACTCTGTATATATCTAAACTGTGTGAATCAGCCATAATACAGTCTGCCACAGTGTAGTGCGCAAGGACATTTATTTATCTACTGCTAGAGTATTTATTTTTATCTGGTGTGTTAACCCACATACACACATGATGTTTTATTTAATATTTCATCTGCATAGGTCAACCATGTCAAGCAGCTGCCAAAGGATTTCAAAACCACTTTACTATTAAAATTACTGTAAATGTGATAATTTATAAATTCTATTTTTTCATCTTTATGAACAACATGCTGAAGACTACTTGTCAAGAGATTGCAACTCAACAACTATTTTCTGGCATAATCCTACATTTAAGAATTTTTAAGTAGCTTTGTACTTTATTGGAGTCTCTCCTGAAACAGTGAATAAAGTCAGAGTCACTCATCATGTTTGCTTCATTACTAATTGATAAACCAGCAGCTTCAGACGGTGCCATTCCATTTAATGAATTGCTGATGATCCCCATTGACTGCATCTGTATGAAAAATAGGAAAAGAAGTACTTCTTATAACTATACATACAACAAACCTTTAAAATACTAGTGCAGAAGTCAACCAAGGCATCACTATGATGAGCGGTTTGACTCCGGACCTTTCACATACTTATTGAAGATATATGTAAAAATCCTTACGTATAAAAATATTGTCTTTTTATCTTAATGGCATCTATACAACCTTTAGACTAGCCTGAAATGATCTGATATACTAGTAATGCAAGAATACTGGGGTATAACTCCATCTGAGTTTAAGTAGAGGAAGCCCTGTTTGGTAATCGTTATTTCCTCTTGGAGTAATATAGCAAATTAGTCTTGAGATTTTTAGCCATTTACTTTAATGAGTTTTATCAAGGGAAGCTTCTAACATGAGCACTTGCCAGTGCTGTCTAACCTGGTGAACTCTGCAGGCTGTTATCACCTCTCAGAGTAGGAGCTTCACGACAGAACCAAGCTTACAATTAGTGTTTTACAGAAAAACACAGATGCAAGCTATTGGAATGCATTTGCATTGTTTGCTTCGGGTTTTTTTTTTTTTTTAAATTGTATTTCTGCTGTATGGCATGTCCATAGTACAGAGAGGTCAGAACTTCAAAGCTTTCCTTCTTAGTAATTTCTCCAAAGGTAACACTAGAAAAATAAAATTGGGTAAATATACCAGAAGTGTGTAGCTAGTTTAGAGTTTGATGGCTTGCTTCAGTTACAGAATGAAGGAAACAAAGCTCAAGCTGTTGAATACTTCTGAATTTTAAGGCTGTTTTAACCCAGAACCCGGTCTGCACTTGGAAGGTGGACTTTTTCCATTTGTAACTCTCAGAGTCACCCTAATCAGGGCTGCATTGTAGAGTAGGGTACAGTTTCTCCTGTTCTAGTGATGAGCTTCTTATAATTTTAAAACTCATTTTCTCCACTTGTATTCATAAAGCTGAATGGGATACACTGGCAGAAGATAATAGTTTGTTATCACTTTTTAGTGAAACAGACACCTTGGCAGTGTAGCCATTTCAGAGAATGGACGCACAGCCCTCATTCGTTTAGCCAAAACTCCAAATGAGTTTAGATACGAATGCACAAAAAATACAAAGATCAGGACTTCTAGCTAGTAATGAGAAGACATAAATGGAAATAAGAAAAATTTATATATGATCTGCCAGAATTTGGAATAGAGTTTTGAAATTGTTTTGTCACTAGCATCTGACTGAAGCAGTGCCACTGTTGTCTTGAAGAACTTATCCCAGCATAAAATTGTTGTCTCGGGAAGGAGCTCTTTGCAGCAAACAGCAGTGATATTTGAATTAGTTAGAATGTAAATCCAAATAAAATGGAAAACAATAATTAGATATTTGTCACAGTCTACCCACATGTCCTCTACTGCCTTAGAAAAGTCAAGTCATTACTGGCTCATACATGAAGCTGTAAATGGCTCTAGTCTTTGTACTTGTGTCTTTCTTTCATATATTTCATATTAATAAAATATTGCTCTACACATGTAGATGTATGTAATGTCATGTACCTATCTGCCAAACCATAAACTAAGTTATATCTTTTGGCTGAAAAAATCCCAGATCTGTAACAAAGTCCAGAGCAGCTGAATCAGAGCCTCTGTTGGCATTAAGCGAGAGCGGACATCACCTCCCCCCCCACCCCTTTAAGTCACTCACACCACCTGACTGGTTTACATAAAAGCTACATCAAAAATCTTGCCTTTTCTGTTACTTTCTCAACTCCAGTCTTCAGCTCATGTACCATATTGCTGATTTGCTTAGCTTTGCTAAGGCTGTCATCAGGAAGTTCTTGATGGTGCTCAATATGCTGGTTAAAGTGAGAAAGTGGCTCTTTCCAGGCTTGCAAAAGTTTCAGTATCAAGTGAGTTAGTTCTTCTCTCTCATAAATTAAAACAGTAAAGAATTTCTCTGTTAGTTTGCAGCAGGTCACATGAATACTGTTAGACAGCCTCACTGTGAAATCTCAGTGGGATTGCGATTTACATCTGCAATTCGGTAGTTTTCAAATATTCAGAACTTAAGGGCTACTCTGTCTCTGATTATTTGCTTATATATAAGCAACACTCAAAAGTTGTATTTGTCATGTTTTCAGCTTTCTTAGGCTCCTAAGCTCTGTAACGCCCAAAACTGTGAATACAGCATTAGCAAAACGGTGGCTGGTGTTCCTGTCAAACTTACTTAGTAGTGAAAAAGCTTTCAGAAACTCCTAGATAGCTCAAGAGCCCAAGAAGCCTCATCTAGACATCTCTGTTTGCTGGTGTGGAAGCGCAGGTGTTTCCTCACTATAGCTGTGTCGGTTAGAGGTCGGCTGCAGACACACTTCCCAGAAGGTGCCTGGTGGTAAGGACAGTTGCTTCTCTAACAGAAACTCAGTGGCCACAAGATCTCTCTTGCAATGTAAGTTCAGAAAGAAGGCTGACTGGTTAAAGCTTCCTAAAGCAGGCACGGCCTCATTTCCCATTGCCCTTCCAGGGGAGCTTCTAAACGTCTTGGGGGAAGGTCCTCACTCCATCACAACCAGAGCCAAACCTTAACATTTGTCTCCGTCTGTCTCCTCCTAGAGGCAAAAGTTTCTCCCGCTGTTGTATCCTTGCCTTTACACTTTGCTTTTCCTCTGTCTAAAGAATCTCTTCCTGCTCTTCCCTAAACTAATAACGATTTCTTTCTCTTTGCCATTACATCTGTCTGAAACAATCTGCTGTTCCTTTCCACTTACCTAACTACCGATTCAGAGATAATGACTGTCATTTCTTTCTCCTGATTGCTTTTTGTACTTTGCAATGACGCTGATTAATTTAACTCTTCTGTCACATGCAGTTTTCTGAGTTTCTGTTCCACAGAGACTGCCACAACAAAATCAAAGGGACGTCTGTCTGTCAGTCATTTGGACGACGTACTACTGTAATCCCCCTAATATAACTAATAAATACGATCTGAGCATATGTAACCGTATGCAGCTTTTAAAATACAACAAACTAATGATTCATACGCAATACCTCTGTGATGTGCTCCTCTTTGGGGTCAAAACTTATTAACTTCCTCAATCCAAACTGTCGATGAAGCACCGGAGGCAGAAAAACCTCTTTGCCTGTCTCCAGCCTGACTGTGGTGGGGGACCGTCGCAGTGTGTTGGGCGGGACGTTCGGGGGGTATTTTCCCCTTTCTTCAGGCGGGGTAGATGAGACAATGTGACCCGCGGAGCCCCCTCCCAGTCCCCCAACCCCGCGGGGGTTCGCCGCGCCCTCTGCCCGCCCCGTCTCCGCCCGTCCAGCCTTACCGGGATTTTTTGGGCATACTCTTTGCCATTGGGGGTCGGCATCCCCGACGTGTGGCACTTCCGAGCGGGCTTCCCCAGCTCGTTGTCACGGGGAGGGAAGTGTTTTTCCTACGGAAGAAGAAAACCCAAAGAGACACCGAG